GTATAAAAAAAAATTCTTCAAAGCATAAAAGTTTGCTCCTTATTAATTAGTAGATGTGAAAACATTACCATTGAAATCTACCTGATGACTTTATATCCATGCTCAGATGCTAAGGAGCTCAGAAAGAAACTGACTGTGACTAGTAATAATCAGAAATATAGAGATTAGAAATGCATATTCATCTTAGTATCAATTGTATTTAAAATGAATTTTTCTGTATGAAACTGTATTTTAATAATGAAATGGAGATCTTTTTCAAAGTTTAAAACCTCATTTAATTTTATGTCTTACAGGGTTTATATGGAGTACAATATTGTATAATTGTATTTATTCAACTGTAAACTTAATAATTTCAGCTAGTTTTGAAAGAGAAGCATCTTAGCTCTGGAAATGTCATTGAATATGTCAATGCTCTTGTAATGAAATGCCTCTTCTAATCATATGGTTTTGAAATAAATAAAACAAATCTAAACAAAAAACACTGATTAAAGGAAACACACAAAAAATGGAAAGACATCCCATGTTTGTGAATAGAATAATCAGTATTGTTAAAATTTCCACAGTGCCCAGAGCTGCCTACAAATATGGTTGTAACCCTTATCAAATTACAGGTGGCATTCCTTACAGAACTAGAAAACTTGATAATAATTTCCATAGAAACACCAAGGCAGGAAATAGCCAAAGGAAGCTTGAGTTAAAAGAGCAAAGCAGGACGCCTTGCACTGCCTTGCTTCCAAATACACTACCAAGCTATAGTAATCAAACTGCATGGCACTGACAGAAAACAGACACATGGGCTAGTGGGAAGGAATGCAGAGCCATGCTCTGGTATCCAACTGATTGTCAGCAGAGGTGCTAACAGTGTGCCCGTGCATGGTGATTGTCAGTAATTGTGAAGAATGAGGAACGAGGGAGACACCTGGAGAAAAGTTATCAATGGGTACAAGTTATAGTTAGGGGCAGGAAGTGATGTGCTTGCTGTCATTTCCCAGAAGGGCGATTGTAGTCATCAATGGTGTACTCTACATTTTTAAAACCCCAAGAAAGGAGTCTCAGTGTCTTCACTGTGAAGGAATGATAGCAGTGAGACATGGGGGCATACACCTGCTATCCCAGTTCTCGGGAGACAAGGGGATAGTTTTTGACCACCCTGGACTAACTACACAGTGAGACCCTGCCTCAAGGGGAAGAAACAGTAGTAGATGTTTGAGGAGATACAAATAAAAAAGTTCAGTTCAAAATTCATGCAAATGTCATAATCATAGGAACAACCCTTTTTTCCTGTTTAGTTTCTATCATTGTTTTCCCTGAGTGAGGCTTTACTGAGATAAATGCTTGTAAGTGAATAAATAGTTAATGAAAGTGTGGCCTGGCCTATGTCCTAATGACACCACATTTCCAACCAGTTTAAAAAATATCCTTCCAGGATCAGGAAACTCAGGGTAGGTAGAGACTGGGTCCATCAAGTTAGTAATGGAGCAGGCTTCACACTAACCACTATTCCTGCCTGTAGTCTGGGTAGGAAAGGAAGCAGTCATTTTTGGAATGGCTTTGTCTGTCACAGGTGCCATCCACTCTTTTTCACTCTTCCTGCTTCATCCCTGGCCTTAACTCTTGTGCACTTCAGTGGGAGCTATTCACAGGGGTGTTTTGTGAGTTCCTTGGCTTTAGTGGATCACTGCTTGTTTCCTCCTCCATGGCCTCCTCCATGGCCACCCTTGTGAGTCTTGATCTGCACTTCCCTAGGTCACAGCCTGGAGATGCTGAGATGATTGTCACTGAATGCTTGGTGTGTGTTCAGTAAGTACAGTGAATGGAGTGTGTCGGTAGGAAGCCATTGGCCTGCACGGATGAGCCCTCATGAATGCCCCTCAGCCATTTTCACTGCAGTGTTAGGAGTTGAGAATGATTTTCAGTATTCACTTCTGACTGAGAAATCCCAGGGTACCCAGCTACCATATATTTTCCCTACCTCACTTGGATCTGTTCCTTATTCTCCAGCTTTCTGGGAATTTCTTCAGTCCATCTGATTGTAGTTCCCTTTAAAATATGTATCATAGTCCCCTCCCCTGTAACACTCAGTTTCATAGACATTCAGGGAAATCAGGAATGACTGCTATTTGTAAAGGAATATAAGCTAGACATGTTTCCCCACAGCTAAAAGAAGGGTTTTTTTATTTCCCCTTCAATATGTTCTTGTTACTATCCCAAATGAACTCTCGAATTCCACATACACACCCTGTGTCTTTACTTCTTTTAGCTACAAGTGTTTCTGAGTGACTCCCAGCTCTCTGTTGTCTGCACACACCCTCGAGGTGAACTTTCCAGCTGGATACTGGGGCAAAGGTGGCTCAGTACCACATGTTGTCTGTTTACTTTCCATCTGGTGTCTGAATGTCCCCACAGGATTGTTGTTTGGGGTGGTCCAGAACAGTCCCCAGGGATGTTCTTGTTGCCTTGTCTGGCTTCCAAGTCATTCTGTGCCTTGTATAAGCCCTGCACGTCTTTGTCATTAATGGGGCTTTCTTGCCATTTCTTGCCAGCATAGTTGGTGGTAGTGGCCTGCTAGCCTATAAAGACTATAGAAAAGGAAGAATGAGTGAGGCATTCAGGGAGCAGAGGGGCTCATTAAGTTTGTGTGGGACGCACTGCACAGAAAAGTGGGTCTAGAGGACTGAAAATGGAAAACGAGCGTGGCAGTGGTGGAATGCAGAAGGCTCTGGCATTGTCCTGTCAGCATTTCTGGTTCTGTAGCCCTTCACACGAGTGTCCACTCTATAAGCATACTAATGCAGCACACACTATCGGGGGTGGGAATGAGACCAGCAGCAAGAGCTCATAGGTACTTTGCAGGGGATGAGAGAAGCAGTACTCTGTTCTTAGATGTTACAGAGAAAGAGGAAAGGATTAATTAATTATTAATTTTGTTTTATGGGTATAAATGTATAGCCTGCATGTGTGTAGGTGAACCCATGCATACAGTTCTCACAGAGGCTATTAGAGGGCATTGTATCCCCTGGAACTGGAGTTATGGGTGGTTGTCAGCCACCAGTGGGTTCTGAGAACTGAACTCAGGTCTCTGCAAGAGCAGCCAGTGCTCTTAACTGCTGAGCCATCTCTCCAGCCCCCAAGATTTTTCATTCATTATTTTTTAAAATATTTTATTTATTATTTTTATTTTATGTGTATGCATGTATTACCTGCATGTATAGAAATGCACCCATGTCATGAAATGCCCAAGGAGGTCAGAAGAGGGCATCTGATCCTCTAGAACTGGAGTTACAGACAATTGTTAGGTGCCATGTGGGTGCTGGGATTCGAATTGGGTCTTCTGCAAGAACATTTAGTGTTCTTAACTGCTGAGCTAGCTCTCCAGCCCCAGATTTTTCCTTTATTAACTGAAGCTGTTGTTGAGATACTATTATTTGGGGTATGAAAACTGCTTAAATGCATGAAAGAAGTATTTTTGTCCAGTTACTGATCACTCTTGTTTTAGTAAAGCTTCCACATAAATGTGGCTTTCTTTGGTACCAGGGATTAAAACCTTTGCTAACCATGTACCATACCATTGAATGACACCCCCAGCCCCTTAGGAGTCGCCTTTCCTCTATTTTCATCCTCACCCCTGGTCCCACTTATTTCCTGTGGCTTGACTTTGAGTTGAGGCTATTTAGTGTTTCAGGTTATCATTGTAGATAATTCACATCAGTACTGTTCTGAAAGCTATGATTGCATGAAGGTTGTGATCCACATTTAACAACCTCTGATCTTGTTTTTAAAGCTCTGAGGGTGTCCTGGGTCTGATTTAGGGAGGAGGAGGACCTGAAGAATGGTGGATAAGAAGTCTTACCCCTTCCCTGCCTTCCCCTAGGACTGGAAACACAAGCCTGTAGAGCTGCCAAGTATATATGGCTCTTGGCATTAGGAAAACCTTGTTGAAAATGAAATTAAAATTTCCCTGCTATATAGGAAATTAATAACCACTGAGTGTAGCAGACAAGGTCAGAGCTAGACCACTTGCTCCATCACCTGTGAGTGTTTATTGTTATGTAAATGAAATCAGCTACTACTGACTAATGGGAATTGAGGAAGGTAGAGAGAAATAAAGGTGAACCGTCATCTTAGGATTTAAATTCTTTCTGCAAAATGTTTTTATAGCATGTACTGCTTCTTAGGCCATCAGTGCCTGAGCACGGGGGCTCCACAGCCTCTTTTCTCATGATTTCCACAGGTAGCCTTCATGACTGTGACACATCACAATGTGTCAGTTCATAACACTTCTAGATCACCCACAATGAACCAGGCCATCTGCCATCGGGACCAGGGAAGTAGCTAAATAATGAAAATATCTAGTCCCTGCCTTCTGGGAGTTTATAGTCTGGAAGAAGAGGATATTGAATAGCATTAAATTCTAAGATAACCCAGTCCTTCTCCCCCCCTCCCGCATAAAAAGACCAACTCACCCAAATATGCTACCATACCACATAGTGTCCTTTGGTTGAAAAGTAGTTAAAGCATGCTGTGGTAAACTTCAGGAAAAAAGCAATAAATTGTGAGAAGGAACCAGGGGACAGGCCCTTCAAGACTGTGGATGAATCGACACTGTGCAACTGTAGGCCCACTTGCTCGAGATTCAGAATTACAGAAGGTGTCTGATGAACTCACCTTGGGCCTCTGGCCCCTTTCTCGGCTAGGGGCAAGCAGAATAGATGGATAGTTCCAAAAGACTCTGCAGAGGCCAAGAGACTGTTTCCCAGAGGAAGCATGGATGAGTTCCGGAAAGGCAAAGCCTTACATCTTTCCTCCAGGGGCATTGTAAAGTTTAACCGTGACTTCAGGGGTTAACTAGGGTTGTTGGTCAAGGAGCCAGTGAGTGCTTTATTTGGGGCATACCCAGTATTGAGACTCACGGTTTGAAGCCATGAAACACAGAATCATTCTCCAAAAGGCATGTCCACTCATCCACATTTCCATACTGTGTTCTGTGTTCTTATTCCTAGTGTGAGCAGTCACACCTGATGAGAGAACATGAGGATGTCCAGGAGCGCACGACACTTCGCTATGAGGAGCGCATCACAGAACTCCACAGCGTCATTGCGGAGCTGAACAAGAAGATAGACCGCCTGCAAGGCACCACCATCAGGTATTGTAACGAATGAAGCCTACTTAGTGGAGACATGCCCTTGTTTCCTCCCTTAAGGGTTAATCTTGTGGGTTAGGTGAAGGGCCTGGATAGGTAGGGGACTGCCCCTAGGAAGGTGGGTTTAAGATAATGTGCTTTCCCTTCCCAGGACTGCAGCCCTCTAGTACAATCCCTATAAGCCATCATGGTGTTTGAATGGGTCTGTCTGCCTTTCTGAGCTCTGAGCTTTTAAACTCCCTAACTAAGGATTTGTCTTTCCTTATTCTTTCCCAAAGCTCCCCTCCCTGCTGTGTGGCTGCTTGTCACCAGGTGGCTGACCTCCATGCCAGCTTATCTTCTCCATTCTCCAATTCCAGGCAGCCGTGAAATTTACAGCTTGCCTGCCCTGGGGTTTCCTTTTAAAGTCTTAATAAATTGTCTTCAAGCTTCTGTTGAATCTGTTGTTTGTCCTTGTGCTTCTGTTTCTGTCCGTTCTTAAATTCTTTTATTACTGAGACTAAGAGTCTAAGAAGGGACTCCAATTTCCTCTGTATCATGTGACGCCTCTACCTGGACTCCCCCAAGATTTCCGGTAACACTTATTTTCTTTGGAAAATGAACTTGATCCTGCCTCTAGAGGCATTGGTATGGACACCCCAGCCTGGTTTGTGCTTGGCTGCTAGAGTTGAAGCAGCCCCCGTGAATTAGAAGGCTTTTTATTGTAGCTGAGCCAGCCATGTGCCTTGACCTGGGTTTTCCTCTTTGGATTTTAATCCTTACAACCACTCAGAGGGTGGACTGGGTAGAAGTTGTGATGCTCAGTTTGTTGCTAAGGGTATAGAACCAGACATTGAGTAAAGTGCTTTATTAATGAGTTCTAAGTAGAGGTCCCATTGTCTGTTGATTGGTATCCTCACAGCCTCTTGTATTCACTAGATCTTCTACAGACTATGTGCCTCTTTTAGAGATTCTGAGATTCATGAATGTGGCTTAGAGCCAAGCATTATGTGAGATTCTAGATAATCTGTTAGTATTTTGAGCTTATCCCAAGTTGTTTATCAACAGTGACTTATCCTCTTACCAGATTCCTAAGCCGAGTCTTGACCCATTGCTCTAATAGTGAGAAAGACAGACTTTGAAAGAATGCTGGTGGTGGAACGACTAGTCAGCAGAAGATAGATCGAGTTAGAACCCAGAGAGCCTCTGCTTTTGCTTAGTTTTCCTTTCATAAAGATGTTTGTCAGGGCTTCTGCATCCCTAACTGATCTGTCTAGTTGGCCCCTGTATCTTCAGTGTGCAGTGCTCAGTTGCCTGTGTTTGCCCTGTTGTTCAAGGAGACTTGCTGAGTTGCAAGTTGTGGTGTAGATGAACATCCCTGAACAGAGGAATGGTTGGCACCTACCTTCCTGGAAAAGGGCGCTTTGTTCATGGAATGCTCATACAAACCATAATTGGAAAATCTAGAGGCAGCTGCTTTAAATTCTCCCTGAAAGAACCCTGGCTCAGAGGAGACTCTGGATGCATTTTCAGAGTCTCAGTAATGATGGGGCTTCTTGATGAGGGTGCTGATGGGCATCTGTTTTCCGGGCAGAATCATGGAAAATTTTACACTGACTTGGAGCCACACAATAAATTTCATATTCTAATTTAGAAGTTCAAGGTTTTTAAATTGTATCTTGGTCTATAGAGTGATTGTAGGTTAGCAATACATGAGCAGAGAAGAATTTTTAGCCCAAAGAAATGATTATAGTAGATTTGAAAGAGCTGAACAGAGTGCCTTGGTAAATTTGTGATTTCCATTCAAATACATTACACTTTAAAAAAACTTGAGAAGGTCAAAGTAAATGGGCATAGTAAGTTGTGAGAGAAATGTATCACATCACCTCACAGCTCAGCTTCAAGATGTTAGAATTGAATGTGATGGCTTGACTGGTTCTAAACTGCAGTAAAGCTGGATATGGTGGCACGCATTTAGTCGCAGCACTCAGGAGGCAGAGGCAGTCTGATCTCTGAGTTTGAGGACAGTTTGGTCTGCATAGCGAGTTGCGGATCAGCTAGGGCTACAGAATGAGACGCTATCTTATAAAACAAACAAACAAACAAACAAACACATACCAGTGAGCTGCTTGACCATAAACATGTATGTATTGGTGCCTCTTATTTAAAGGAATATTGCATCTATTCAGATGTCACATGACATTCTGCCCATTTTCATTATGTAAATGAATGAGCTCCTCCTTGAGGGGACTCCTCCTTGAGGGGACTCCCTGCCAGACTATAAAATGTGTAGACATGGGGGGTCAGTGAGACATGGCTCTTCCTGTCAGTCCTAAGCTCTGGAGGCTCAGGCATATTCCCAACTTGCAGCACTGCAGAAAATCCATTTGCCCTCCACTCCTGCTATGCTGTGGTGATCCCAGTGCAGGAACAAAATGCCATGGATGAATTCTTAACTGTCCTGACATAGCCCAGGTCCCTTACTTCTGAAGCCATGTCTGTTTTTTTCAATTCCCTGGAGATGAGGAAAATGCTTCCTACTAGCACTAGTTTATGGTGCTGCCTTTTTAAGATCCAAGGATCAAGAAGGGGACATAGAGGGAGTGGCAGGGTTGTAAGTGTCTTTATCCTCGTATCAGTTCTCAGTCTTATCTTAATCATACACCTAAAAACCTGCCTTCCTTGCAACATTGAGCTCTGTTAGTTGGCAAGTCTTAATTCCTAAGGGAACATATACATCTATGGAGAATTTCATAATGGTTCCATGGTCAACCTCCCGGTCCTTTGTAGTTTCCATGTCACTGAATTACAAAGTAAATAAATGGTTATTGTATTGGCTGGAGTGACTATTGGGGTGAGACAGTTGCTTCTGTGCCATCGTGTTATGGGAAGCTGAGGCAGGGGACTTGCTACACACAGAGATGGCACCCAAGAAACATGGAGAAATCAGGAAAGTTTATTCGTTCACATTTTAAAAACATTTTTTATTTTATGTGTATGTGTGTATTGTCTACACGTAGGTTAGTGCACCTGTGTTGTGCAATGCCCTCAGAGGTCAGAAGAGGCTGTCGGATTCCCTGGGACTGGAGTTACGGACAGTTGTTAGTTGCCATGTGGGTGCTTGGATTCCAACCTGGGTCTTCTTCAAGAACAATCAGTGTTCTTAACCACTGAGCCATCTCTCCAGCCCCAAGTTCACAGTTTTTATAGGTCTCCTTGCATCTTTGTTTAACTGTTACAACGCTGGTAGGTTTAAGTTACAACCTATGTGATTATCAGCATAGGTGCTTACTTTTCCTATGACCATGAAGGGGAAATTCCTTCTGCAGGTATGTTTGTAGATGTGGATATTTAGGGCAGGAGTTAAGATATTCTTTAACAACAGAGTTTATTGTAGGTGCCTTAGCAAGCAAGATTGTTTCAAACAGGTGTTCCATTAGGTAACTTTGGTATTCGTTTCTCCATTGGAGAATGATAGCTTTCTCTATTTTAGCTCTGATTCCTTTTTCAACAGAGATTTTAGTAAGCATTCATAAAACCACTATAAGGTGAGTAATATGTCCTAAAATATAAAATCATTCATAAAATAATATTAGATGCACACAAGAATGACGTTAAGTGCATGGGTACCTTTCTTCTTCAATAGGGCAGTGAGGACTATATTTGGAACCTGGGCTTTTCTAGGATACTTCTTAGACATTGTCTAACAGTGGAGAAAGAGAAGGCTAATGCAGGCCTGGGCCTTTCAAGAATAAAGACTTTGGAATGCTTTAGTAGGTAAAGAACTAATTCTAACTAACCTAGATGCTGAACAAACCAAAAGATTTCCTAGTAAAGAAAAGAAAGCTATAAATATGACAACTATAGCCTCATGACCAGTTGCAGAAAAGGTGGCCAAAGTATACATATTTTTTTACCTGTTTATATATTTATGGATGTTTTTTCCTCTTTTTTCAGTATTTTGTATGGTGAATTGGTAAAGCTTGTAATTTGGTAGCTAGGTTTCCTGACATCTAGTCAGGTTTGTCACTGACTAGAAGAGGAGGAAAGACCACCTACAAGTGACTGTTAAAACTGATGGTATGGTGGATTTCCCATTTTGGAGGGAGGGTAAACTCATTTACTTTGAATAGAAAGACAGTTGCAGGAGACTGGTGTCATTTACGCTGTGATTTGGGAATTTCAATGGGCTTGCTGGGTGGTCACTGAGTAGTCAATGTAGACTGTGATGGCTCTGGGTCTGGTACCATATTCTCTCATTATTTGCTCTGAGGCAACTTCCCAAACCCTCTTCCCAGCTGTGTTTCTGATGCAGTTTTTACTCTGCCACTGAGATGTGCTCACCTGGTCTGGATAGAAACTGGAGGTGTTATGCATTCCCTCTAGGCCATGATGGCAGGGGACATAGAGTGCAGGCGTGGAGTCCTGCCTTGACTGGCCAGTCATGGAGGTATGAGCAGGTGTGCAGCAACAGAAGCAGCTACATGATTTGGGGGAACCGGGGTTGCGATGACAAATCTGACAGCTTCTGATGGCAGCCACCCACCCACCCCATCACCTCTGTTCTTCCAACAGTTTTGCAAGTTCAGACCTGCCTGAATGCTATGCTTTCTGTTCGTGTCATCTGGTTCAGTTTGTTTTCCTAACTGATCCCTGCCTGACGTTTCCCAAATTCCACCTCGTGGAAACACACACTGAACATTTTGTGTATATGGCCTTGTGAAAAGTTTTATTCATAAGTATTTTGAACAAATTGGATCATACAACACATACTGTTTTGATATATGCGCCTTTCCACCTTGTTGTATATTATAGTACCTTTTCAAAAATGTTTGACTTGGGGAAATTATATAACTGTTTAGGGAAAATGAAAAAAAAATACGTACTTTGGAACCAAAAAGCAAAAAAAAAATGGTATCTAAGCAAATTAAACATGAGCTCTCTTCTTCCACGAGATTGTTTTCTCTCCCCAAAGCTACTCCTAATATCAGCCCTTCACTGCTGACTCTTCTGACTTGTTCTCT